ATATTTTAGATTGAAATAGAATTGAAGTAAAGTAAATTGTTTTTATCAGCAACTATACCTGTATGTGATCCAATCCAGGTCCCAAGCCATTTTCCTTATCGACTTCTTTCCACCTTCTAGGAACTGGAATTACATCCCGAGTAACAACACCAATTTGGCTTGAAAGCTTTGCTGATTGGTCACCATCTTTAGGTCTTCCAATGGATGGATCCACAATTATCTTCATTTTAGTCTTGGATGCCTCAAACGCCTTCATAATGCCCTTTCCCATTGTCTGGCCTCGACCTCTTCTCTTGGAGCGAGGAGCTATATGGATCATAACAATGTACAGAAAAAATAGAAATTGTCATGTTAGCCTAACAATATTATTCATATTCTACGGTCATGATAGGTACCTTCTTCAACGTGGGTTTCTGGTGATGTAATATGAGGACTGCAATTTACTGCACTTTCATGACTTTGAAGTGATCCAGTATCCTCTCGTTCCGGACTTAATCGTGTTGTAGTTGTTGCACATCTTTTAGATGAAATATTTTGTCCAAGCGTCTCATTTCTTGTACAAGAACTTTCACCATTAGATGTCATATTTGTCTTTCCCAAGAATTCTTTAATTCCACTCAGTGTCACAAAATTTGGTGTAGCTTTCTTTGATGCATTTTGTCTAGGATCTGGTTGAGATGTGCTTAGTTTTCTTTTCGTTTGATGCTTTTCCTTAACTCCAGGAGCCATCCCTTAACTGAAATGAAAACTCAATGTGGTTGAATCAAACAAGTTTGAAAATCAAGGATCTTAAATAATAGTATCAAAATGCACAATAGAAACAACAAGGCTTATTACATCTATACTACTTTCAGCCACTACTTGGATTCGAACATGCACAGAACTGTGATAAAAAATTCAGTAATTTTTGGATTCAAACATGCACAGAACTATGATAATAATCTCATGTTCAAACCCTTCAGTTTAGTAATAGCCATGGTTGGTTGGTACTCACTATTCTGGGGTTCTAGATTATGGAGATTGAAAATACTATACGCAATTAAATACAAGAAACTTAGCATAGTTTAGCAATAAATGTGTAAACATTAAATGCATCAAAAGGTCAGTTAATCGGAAACAAAAAACACAAATTTTCAAGATTGACTATTTGACATTAAATTGAATGATTTGAGCACACCAAACTATGCACACCTACAGTTTTTATATGACTTCAACTATTACCTAAAAGAAACCAACAAATCTAAATTGTTCACCCTAAACTTAGCACTTAGCATAGTTTAGCAATAAATATGAAACAAACTAAATGCATCAAAAGGTCAGTTAATCGGAAACGAAAAACACAAATTTTCAATATTGACTATTTGACATTGACTATACCCTAAAAGAAATCAACGGATCTAAGAAACCCTTTGCATAGAAAAAAGGAACAAATATTGATATACACACCTCTTCGGAATAATAAAAAAGATCACAAAGAGATAAGCCATACCAGAATGTAAAGAAGAGGTGAGAGGCGGCTTTGATACTCGGTTGCGAAATAATTTAGAGTTGGGTGGATATATAGGTCGCCCTAATTAGTATGAAAATTAAGTTTCAAAATAAGTTTTCCGCCTAAAATTTTTATTTAGCGGCAGCTAAAAAATCACCGCCAAAACGGGAAAAAACGTAAGGTGGGAGCCGTATCAGTTTAGGTAATACTAATTTTATTTGAGTTTTTAAGTATTATTATTGAAAAAGCCTTCTTTTCAAATCTTAAAATCTTATTACATACTAGGTATCATCTAATAAAATTTCAAAAACTCACACATTAATATTGAAATTTTAAAATTATGTTAAATATTCTATGATATTAAATCACTTATCTGTCGTAATTGATGTCGGAATTTTGGATTCCCTACGAAAATCCAGATATGATATCTTAAGAAAGGAATCTAACAACCCTTGTAGTGCTCGATGCCTATCCAGGCCTTCAACTCCGAAGAAGGCGTCAAGAACGCCTACGGCCGCGTTCTTGGCGGCAGCAGCACCATTAACGCCGACTTCTATCTCCAAGCAGATGAAGGCTCCTGTACTCGCACATGCGATTGGAGAACCAATCTTATGAATGGGTTGAGAGGCTCATTGTAAATCTGAAACAGAATCTTCGATTCATACTTTGGCCGTAGCTATGGGCCTAGAAGTAATAAGAGATTGAAAATTAAAACCTAAAACTATTGAATACACCTAGGACGAAAGGAGGATGAATGTGAGCTCTGCATATTCTAGATACTACGGAGGAAAGAAGAAATGTGTGATACTCAATTAACACCCACGTGTCTTACTTTGGTATATTAAAATCATGGAGTCCACTTTATTTGACAATAAACAAATATGATATCATTATACTCCCTCCGTTCTTTATTAGCTGTCTCGCATTCCTTTTCGAGACGTTTTTTATTATTTGACTCTATTTCTATTTTAGGAAAGTTTTTGATAAAATACCCCCACTTTTATTACTTTTACCCCTCTTAATTTTTACAAACTACTTTCTCTTTCCTACTTTATCATAACTTTACTCTACTTAATATATTCTCTTTCCTACTTTATCATCACTTTATCACCACTTTACTCTTTTTAATATACTCTCTTTCCTATTTTATCATTTACCCTACACACTCTACATTTACCCTACTATTTTTCTATTTTAAACGTGTTTTAGTATTTTTATTTTTGTCATTGTTTTATGCAATTACAAATTACTCATTTATGTAGTAACGAGATTTGCTACAAAAATGGAGAAGATCGGAAAAGCTCAAGTAAGATCAAGTAAGTATTTCTGCTGAGTAAAAGCAAGAGAATTCAATTTCGGATCCCTTTCCACATGCTGGAAGTTGATATTTGTACTAAAGAGTAATAGTTGGTCACATGTCTTGCTTGCCTAACAAACTAAACAGACTGATCTAATGGAGTGTTGCCACGTATAAAGGTGATTGAAGAGATAAATTGGACAACTGGCTGATTGGAACTGCCAGTAACAAATTAGTACCGGAATACACGTGCGGGTTACACGTGTACTATCCGAAATATTATTCACTTTATCCGCTGGGGGTGATGTGGCACCACTTACATGTGTGCTTAATACCTGAGGATATATCTCTAGTAGTCTTCGGTCTTGTCTTGTAGCGTTGACTCTCTTGTTGGCTTCGCTTGACTTAGGTTTACCTTGCGTCGACGTCAGAGGTCAAAGTTGGTACCGAGCTCGTGTGTCTGAGGTCGACCACATATTTTGCCTTGTTTGGGTGATTCCCGAGCTCAGTGTTTTTGCTGACCTAAGAGGGTCGAGGTCGGCCTCGACTGGGTCTTCTGTCCTTTGTCGATTTGTCGTCTCGCGCTTGGTCCTGACCTCGGTGGGTCGAGGTCGGGGTCGGCCTTTGTTTGAAGCCTGGTACTTTAAGTATTTTGAGATGCATTTGTGGCCTTTGACCGGCGATTATGAACTCCAAAAGGGAGTTCATGTTTATTTATTCCTAAATAGGAGTTATAATTAGGTGTACTTAGGGTCGGGCCCGGGCCAGGTCGGGCCCGGGCCGGGTCGGCGGTTCTATATAGCTGGACCCGGGACCGGCCCGGGTAGCCACCGGGTCCGGGCCGGGCGGGGCCTCGGGTTTGGTTAATTTTTTTATTTTTGCTTAGCTACCCATCACTGACCCCCCCCCCCCTCACCCCCCCCTCCCAAACCCCTCCTAAACATCAAGCCCAACCCGGTGGAGCCCAATCAAATGAAAAAAACCAAAAAAAAATAAATTTGGCCCGAACCGGGCCCGGCCGGGCCCGGCCTTGTTATGGGTGACCCAAGCCCGGACCGGAAACCCACCGGGTCGGGCCTACCCGGACCGGTCACTGACTGGGCCACCGGTTCGGGCCGGGCCGGAACAGTACCGGTCCCGGGCCGGTTCCGGGTCAAGCCACCCGAACCGAGTCCAACCCTAGGTGTACCGTTTATTCTTCCAATTATACCCTTCTATTTAATTTTCTTCCGTTGGTCCTTCACGCTCCTCTGCACGCATCCTTTCTTCTCTATGTGATCACCCTCTCTCCTCTCTAATTTCCTCTTCCTTCTCTCATCTCTTCTCAATAATTTTTTGCTCTCAAATCGCAGCAATTTCTTCTCTTCGACAGATCTGGTGAAGAATTGTTCTCCCTTGGCAGCAAATGGCGGTTAAAGGTATGTTTCTATCTTCTTCCTCTTCTTCTTCCCCTCTTTTCTTCTTCCCCTTCTTCTACTTTCTTCTTCCCCTTCTTCTCGTTTCTAGCCTTTTCTTCGCAGGGCTGCAAAGTCTTGATTTTTCGGTAGCGTGATGCTACTGGTTGATTACAACTTTTTCTTTCTGTTTTTTTTTCTTTCTCATTCCAAATTTCCAGATCTGTAGCGTGTAGCTTTACTAGCGTGTAGCTTTACTAGCATCATTAAACCAAATTTCTCTTTCAATTGTTTTTTAAAATTTGGTTTCTTACTTTTCCTTTTTTGCTCTTCCAATTGTTCTTTAAAATTTGGACGGAGTATCATTTAGAACACCATTAAACCATAGTAATTTTTAAATTGTTTTCAATCAATGTTTTTGTAACATTTCAAATTAATATTCTAATTTGTATTTGAAATTGACATAACCACTATTTTGAAGTATTTTCTATGATATTAGCATGAAAATATTACAGAGTACTTATTTGCAAATACTTAAAATAAATGATTTTTGACTTATTGCTAAGGTTCCGAACCGCAGCAAATAGCTACTTAAAAAAATGAAAATGAATTTTGACTTATTGCTGCGATTCTAAACCGCAGCAAAAGGTTTTTTAAAAATTGAAATACAATTATGTTATATTATACTACCTGAAATGATGGTGTTTAGATCCAAAATGTGTCATGTTTATATAATAATATAAACATTAGTTCTTACGATATTCGTATCTCATAACACAAATCAAAATCATAATTCCAATACAATTAAATTATACATCACCAAAATTCAAAATTCATAGAATAGGTATCACCATCTGTTTGTAAGTTTTTCATCAAAACTAATAATTTTACAATAAGTCATCATGCATGTCTCTGCAGCTCGACGACTGACGATATCCAAAACAGACATTGGCGTTGAAGTCCCTGGATGACGCCAAAAATAGAGCATTTGAATAGTCTGTTTTGTCAATAATAACAATCTCCTTTTATACTAACAATCTCTTCATACCGAAATCATTTTCAATTTCTTTGTCAATTTAGATATCCTCGACTGAAGCTTTGACAAATTAGCACTTGAATCATCATATTCTTTACGTATGCGTATACATGACTAGAAGAGTAGAAGGGGATCGTATAAGTTAAGCATTTATTAAAACAAAAAACATCAGAATCCCGTATCAAAAATAGTCCCTTTCAACATTTTGTCCCAAAATCAGAATCCCGTATCAAAAACTTTTTGTCAAAAACAACAAGTCCGGCTTTAAAAGTCAACTTCATTTTTAGTACAATCCCGATAAAGCCAAGCAGCAAGATGGAAATATAGAACAGGCCATTCATAACTTGTAAAAGCTTGTGCCTTGATTGAGTTGGCTAAAATTAAAAGGCCTACTTTAATCAAGCAAGAGTCTTTTCTTGGGACAGAGCAATAATTAATAAACATATTGTAGATCAGGAACCAATAAAGTAAAATTTACCAGGTGGCCAGTGTGAGCACTAACATTTCCACCTTCATGATCACTGTATGGCATTTGGAGGGTTACAATGCCTCCTACAAGGCCAGCTCAACTAAAATATAAAATACCAAACTAATTATTATAAATATTTGAGTATTCATCACCTATGAATGGTAACATAGAGCCTCATAAGTTCATGCACATCAGGGCTATCAAAACCTAACATGTGTGCAAAGTTTGCACCATAATCCAGGTTGTCGTCTTTTGGTATAACATGGCCGTTCTTGTAAATCTTTGACAAACTAACCTGCTAACTAGTCATGTATTTTGAAAGCTTACCCCAGTGTTTTTATGTCAGTCTCAGCCCGCCCAACAATGTCTGAAATTATTACAAGTAACAGCATAGATTAATTAGCTCAAATTATCCAAAGTTCCAAATTGATATGTCAAAATAACAGCAACACCTGCAATTAGCTCCTCAAGCAAAATATACTGCCCAAAATAAACAATAACACTCTAGAGCAAGACCCATTAGGATTCAATGTGTAGAAACTCAAATAAATCCTGCTACTCAAAACATTAAGCATATGAAACACATTAGCATCATATAAATGCTCCACTTTACTCATGTCCTATACCACTTCATGATAAACTAAGGTATGATCTATTTTCATCCTTCACATCAAAATAAAAGAAACTGATTGATCAATAGAATCAATATCTGAATACATACTCACACATAAGAGCATCATTACTGTTTTAACCAACATATAATATAAATAAAATCTTTACTGCTTAGATAATTCAGAACTGGGTTTATAATTATTATTGATAGAAAAGGATATTGATGACAAAGAAATGAAAGAATATATACCCCAAATCATATGAATTGATATAGAAAATATTGACGAAAAAATAGACATACCATGTCGCAATTGCTATGAAGAAATACCAAAAGCATATCTAGTGAAGTTATGCTACATGTCTGCAAAAAACACAAAAACTGAATTATATTAATCATAAAGCAATGCATGGCGATTTGCAAATATAACAATGGATACTGAAATAAAACAAGTAATAAAGGAATACAATATCCTATGTATATAAACTCTTACAATTTGTATGTTGTCGCAATAGTGATTGCTGTCATATTTCCCAATCATTGTCATCACTTTCAAAATCGGAATCAGTATTTTCAATGGAGTCTTCACTACTCAAATAATCAATCAAAGTCTCATCTATTTCATCTTCATGGTCTACCTCAATACTTGATGTATGAGGACCCTCGAACTGTTCCAGAATCAGTGTCTCCTCAATTTCATCAGGATCTATATCCTCTCTATGCATGGATTGTATATCATCAAGAGTAACTTCAAGTGCTTCTTCAATTTCATTCTCTTGATACACTTCATTTGCCACTACAGAATCATCATAATTCTTTTCTTCATTTTGCTGCTCCGGTACGTCATAGATATGCCTATGCTGGAATGGTTGCACCACTCTCCAGTCGACTCCTAATTTAGGATCATTGATGTATACAACTTGTCTTGCTTGATCAGCTAATATGTAGGAATCGTTTTCGTACCACTTATTAGTTATTCTAATACTAGTGATGTTTCCCTCCTTTCGTATCCCAGCTTTTTTTCTCCCAAGATCAAACCATTCGCATTTGAATATAGTAACATGTCTATCTTTAACATAATCGAGCTGAATAATTTCAGTTAGAACTCCATAAAAATTGATAATCTCCTCACCATGATTCCCCTCCACAACAATTCCGCTATTTTGACTTTTGCGGTGGGTATCACGATCTTTAATTAAAAATCTTACGCCATTGACAATACAACCGGAGTACTTTCTTACACACCTATGGGGTGCACACGCAAGCGAATATAGAGACTCGTTTGCTCTTGATGGTTCTTGTTTGTATAAACTATGCATCTAACATAATATTTAAAATGATCAATAACAAAACTGCAAGTGTAATAGTTCTAAATTTTAGTTGAGTTTGTATAACTTACATGCTTTTTGAACCATGCAGGAAATTTCTCCTTGTGTTCTTTATCTATATTTTCACACCCACCAAAGAGAAGCTCTTCCTTATGCTTTCTACAATATTCAATGTTAGAATAATATGAAGTAATATAAAAGAGAAGAAATATGTTATTTGATAAAATTTAGAACATACAAACACTTACTCGAAATAAGGTTCCAATTCCTCACAATTTTGGAAGACAAACCATTGTGTCGCATTAAGCTCATCCTGTGATAATTCCACATATGTTGTTGCTCCAAAAGGACGACATCTTTGCGAGAAGATTAGTAAGCTATCCTCAGATGCTATATCACTATTCCGATCTTCTCGATTAAATCTAGTTTCCACCCCGCGCAAATACATTGAACAAAAAGTCAAGCTCTCTTTTGCAATGTATGCTTCTGCAACTGAACCTTCAGGATGAGCCTTGTTTCGCACACTCTGCTTTAGTCCACATAGGAATCTAAAAAAACAATGAATAAGGTTAATATTAAAAATTATGATAATATTAAGAATCTGGTATATTTGTATCATAATACAAGAAGGCTTTCCTTAAAAAATGTAAGATCATTTTTAATCATTTGTAAGATCAAACAGATTTACTTTTCTAAAATGTTAGAAGTTAGAACAATAATAATGAAGCATTGTTAAACTACAAAATATGGAGATAAGATTGTTGACGTGCACTCGTCGTTAGGTACACTCAAAATAATTAATCAATACAACACTAATACGTAGTATAGTGTAGTAAGGTTCGTATCCACAGGGAAAGGAATACTTTTTCTTTTATATAAATAATAACGAGGGGGGTTTAGATTTGTTTGGTTTAATAACACTAAGATAAACGACCTATATGAGTTTAATTCAATGAGATGGGGACTTGGTTTTGCTTTTATCCACTTAATGAAATGTTCGTCGATCCCGGTTATATCTTTAACTATCTTCCTCTCGAATACTCAATCGAGGAGTATATCCAGTTCATCGAGGGTAGTTATTAATAACGAGATGCGTTCATTAATAAAACTTACTATCGAGTCAATATAGAACAAGCGCCGTATATTAACTTGATAGTAGCAATAAACTTAAGATGAAAACGATTGAGATTGATAACCTCAACACAAGCGGTTTATTGGTTTAATCAATATAATTAATTCCCCTTGGCATATTAACCATGAGATGCATGCATTAATATTCCAAGTTTACTACCGTTGAAAGAACCGGATTAATAACAAGCGTATTAACCGATTGATTCTAGTAATAATTAATATGAGAAACAATACTAGTTGATACTTTAAGTAATGTTTAAGATATTAACATGAAATATGAATAGGAATTAATCAATACTCAAGGAAGAATATTAAAATATATGAATCCTACTATGATTAATATCAAGATGTTAACTAATTGTCATCTTAGCAACACTCCCCAATATAATCATAGAGGAAGAAATAGCTATTACTATAACCAATGTCAAGATGTTAACTAATTGTCATCTTAGTAACACTCCCCAACTTTGATATAGAGATAGTATTTTGAAAGAAAGAATTAGTATTCAAGGAAGAAGATTAAAGAAAATAACTTACAAATTCATTAAGCTTCAAAGTAGCAAAACCAAGATGGAAGAGTTTAGCTCCTCATTTGGAGACTAAACATGATGAAAAATATAAAGAAAGAGCTATTCTATACTGAGCTTAGATGTACAAGGGATTGGATATCTTTTTGTGAAGGAAAGGAGGTGTATTTATAGGTTTTTGGGATGGGATTCGGGTACTCGATCGGGTATATACATGGTACCCGATCGAGTATGTGTGTAACACCCGATCCGAGGCATACTCGACCGGTTCAGACTATTTTCTAAGTGTATACCCGATCGAGTATATATGAATACCCGGTCGAGTATGCTTAGAAAGTGGTATTCGGGCTATACTCGACCGGTTTCAGGCTAGTTTCTAAGTGTATACCCGATCGAGTATATATGAATACCCGGTCGAGTATGCTTAGAAAGTGGTATTCGGGCTATACTCGACCGATCTTCGTTTGCAATTTAAAGGCATACCCGATCGGGTATGTCGGTCTACCCGATCGGGTATAGACATAGAATCGTGGCCAAAATCTTCCCTGCATGTTCCTTTGTCTTCGGATTTGATCCGATTTGAAGTTCCAACCTAATACCCGATCGAGTATAGCTAATACTCGACCGAGTATAGACCAAACTTCAGGATCTTCTTTTGTCTTTGAACTTTTGCACCTTCTCTTCACTTTTTAGGTTCACCAACTGTACTTTGGGTGACCAAAACCTGCTTAAGCTCAGAATATGTCTAATCTAACCTATTTACAAGAATTTAACAATCTAATCTATTACACCAAAAGTGTGTAATTTCCAAAGTAAAAGTCAAGCAAAACTAATTAAAAACATAAACATAGAAATGGAAATTACGAACGTATCAATTGTAGTACCTTTCAATTGGATACATCCATCTAAACTGAAGAGGCCCACCAAGCAATGCCTCATTTGGTAAATGAATACACACATGAACCATTACATCAAAAAAGGAAGGGGGGTAAATCATTTCAAGTTTGCACAGGATAAGGCAGATATCTTCTCTCATCTTCTCTAGATCAGCTCTCTTTAGCATTTTACAGCACAAACGTTGAAAAAAATTACTTAACTCCGCCAACACATTACACACCTCCTTGGTTAATGATCCACGAATACCAATTGGCAATAAGCGTTGTAAAAGTACATGACAATCATGACTTTTCATGCCAGACAATTTTTCATCACTTGACCTAATGCACCGAGAGATATTAGAAGCATATCCGTCTGGAAACTTGATAGATTTAAGAAACTCACAGAAATCATGTCTTTCTTTCTTTTTCATTACACAACAGGCATGTGGTTTTTTATATTTTCCATCTTTCGTCTTAACAAAATGTAATTCCTTACGAATGTTCATGTCTTCTAAGTCCAGTCTTGCCTTGTCAGTATCTTTTGTTTTGCGATCTAAATTCATCAAGGTTCCCAATATACTCTCACAAATATTCTTTTCAATGTGCATTACATCCAGATTATTCCTTAACTTAAGTTTACTCCAATAAGGTAAATTAAAAAATATGCTACGCTTACTCCAATTCAACTCATCAAGCGTGCGCTTCCTCTTCTTACTATCATGTTTCCCTGGTGTGAAATCTTGTAGTCTCTCTAGTTGCACTAAGATATCCTCCCCTGTCAATTCTGTGGGTGCCTCACTATCTTCTCTTTTACCGTTAAACTTTTTGCTTCTTCTCCATGGATGATTTTTTGGCAAATAACGACGGTGCCCCAAATAGCACAACTTGCTTCGTATTCTTTGAGAATGCGTTCGTTCATTACAAACTGGACATGCCATATAGCCTTTCGTACTCCATCCCGACAAATCACCATAAGCTGGAAAGTCGTTAATTGTCCACAAGACAGCAGCGTGCATTTGAAAATTTTGTTTACTGGAAGCATCAAACGTTTCTGCCCCTTTAACCCATAATTCTTTTAACTCTTCAATTAGCGGTTGCAAGTAGACATCGATGTCCTTTCCAGGTGAATTTTTACCCGGAATCAGCAGAGACAACATTAAAAACGGCTCTTTCATACAATCCCATGGGGGGAGATTCAATGGGGTCAAGATTACAGGCCACATGCTATAAGTAGTGCTTAGGTTTCCAAATGGATTGAAACCATCAGAAGCTAGAGCAAGTCTAACATTTCTAGGATCATTTGCAAACCAGGGAAACTTACTGTCAAGGTCTTTCCATGCGGCAGAATCACCGGGATGTCTCATATAATCATCTTCAATGCGTTTTTCCTTGTGCCATACCATCTTTTTAGATGTTTTCTGAGACATAAAAAGGCGTTGCAGCCTAGGTTTCAATGCAAAGTACCTTAGAATTTTATGTGGTACCTTATTACGTGCTCCATCATTAGTTTTCCATCTAGAAGTTCCACAAATCGGGCAACTATCCAAATATTGATTTTCCCTCCAGAAAAGAGCACAATCATACTTACAAGCGTGGATGCATTCATAACCCAAACCCAAGTCGCGCAACATCTTTTTAGCCTCATAGTAGGAATTTGGGAGTGTCTCACCGTCAGGGAAAGATGACTTCATCAATTTCAAAATCATATCCATAGCTTTATTGCTTAACTTATTGTACACTTTAATGTGTAGTAATTGTATGATGAAGGATAACCTTGAAATTTTTTTGCAGCCAGGATATAATTCTGTTTGAGCATTATTCATCAATGCCTCGAGATATACCGGAGGACTACTAGTATTGGTTTCGTTTCCAACAAATGTATTATCACCACCATGTTGATTATATTGCTGGCCAAGGTCGAATAACATATCAATAACACCATCATCTTCTTCATCAATTGTTTCTTCGGAGTCGCTACTACTTGCATCCCCTCTGCTCGTATGTGGAGTCCCAAATATTCGTGAACTTGATGCTTCCCCATGATAAAACCATGTAGTGTACCCAGGATCGATTCCAGACTCCAAAAGTTGAATTTTAACTGTATTCTTATCTTGAACTTTGAGGTTCAAACATCCTTTGCAAGGACATCTTATTTCTCCCTCTCGACCATTAAAGTTTTCAACAAATTTCATAAAAGAGTTCACTCCATCTATATAAGCAGTGGACCATTTAATTGCATGGATCCAACTCTTGTCCATTTGTATCCCACCTGGTATATAAGAAAATATTGAAAGATCAACCAAGTTGAGAATTAAAACCCATATTTAACTTAGACTTCTAATTTATTTAGATCATATAAGCCTAGTAAATATCCTGATAGTTGTTTTTGTTACTTTTCTAGTAAATATCTCTACTCTCTGTATGCCTCATTGCCTCCATTAAACCAATAATTACTCTCTAGATTTTGGTTAAAGATAAACCAATAATTATCCAATTTAATCTATGAGTTTACAATCCACTTGATTCAGACTTTTCAATCATTTATATAAAAGACACTAACCTCTTGAAGCTCCTCGAGAATTAAAAATAATCTCCTGTCGATAGAGTCTCACAGCTTCTTCGAGTCTACGCCAGTCACTAAAGTCCAGCACTATTGCTCAAACATTTTCTATATTTTGCTAAAACTTCAAACTATGAGGAATTTACATTTATCGTCATCAAAGTATAACATAAATGACAAAATAATATTGTCACTTTTTATATAAACAATAAATGACAACAATGATTATGTCATTATAATTAGATATTACGTGACACAAGTCGTCGTCATTAATTTAAATTTTTCTTAATATTTCATCAAAAAACTTCTCTCCAATTATATGATAAAAACAGGAACATATCAAGCTCCATTACCACTACCAGTTATGAAAGTTCCTTTCTTCCTTAAGATTAGTGAAATACTCAAGAGCAAATTATTGTCCTCTGTTCAGTGTGTAAGGAAATAAAAAACAAATATAGTGATATTGTATATATATTATATACGTTTCAATTAAGGAATGTCATTCATGTCTTATTTTAGAACTTTATACATTTCAAACAATACATATTCATTGGACAAAATTCCAGCAAAAATACAACTTTGAATTGATTTATTGATTGTCTAACAAAATGAAATTCTTGGAGAAGTTAAGTATGAATCTTCTTTTGAGTCATAGATAAAGTTTAGAATCCTTTGTTTATGTAAACAATAGCTCTGTATACATGATAGTATGCATCAGCTAGATTCAAAATATTTGGAAGGCAGAACAAGGTGAATTGGTTTGTTTTAAGTTTTTAGTTTGTAGTCTGTAATATATATATACAACAAGTAAATCAAGGATTTGTATTACTTCTACTAAGAATCACCCTCAATAATGATACAAATTAAGGCAAGAAATCATATAATTCAAGCTACACTTATTTGAAAAGTATTTTCGCATGAATTAAGGCAACGATTGAATGGAAAGACAACATATATCATAAACACTCATATAACCCGTTCAAATTCCTCCGGAATTCAAATATAATGCACTCACCTTCGCCTAGGTGATTCTTTGAAGCTACTGTGAGTCGCCGCCGATCGCCGACACTGGTGTAGTCCCTGCCGCCGCAGTCGCTGTCTTCCGCAGATGAAGTTGCCGCCGGTGCCCGATCTCTCACACTGGTGCAGTCTGCCGCAGATGAAGTTGCCCCCGTTACAATTGCTGTCTGCCGCAGATGGAGTCCTCGGTTGATGCCAAAAGAAGATTAGATTTGGTATCTCAAGAGTGGATAGTGTATCGTCACAAGAATTGATTTTAATATTTTATTTAATAAGTATCTCAATTCCAAACCTGCTGAAAAATAAAAGCAAAGAAAATCACTTATCTTTCTTGGGTCTCTACCTATGTGTGGCTATGTATTGTTCCAAACACAAGAAATTGAGACCCACTATCTTACTATTATTATTGTTATTGCCATACGTATATACTTGGTAGTACATATCTATTATTATTATTATTAAAAAAACTTTTAATGAATGTAAAAGTGTGATCGATTAAAAGTATTCATTATTAGGATGTTTTTACTTGGATTATAATTTGCTGGTTTGGTCTGGTCTGAACTGATCTGGTCTGGTTTCTTTGTATTTTTATAACTATTCAAGTCTGGTCTGGTCTGATCTGGTCTGATCTAGTCTGGGAGAAATTACAGTCCAAGTAAAAGCATCCTTACATGGAAACATTAATAAATGATTCGTCGTTACTCATTACAAAAGAAGAATGAAATAATGTTTCTAATAGTGCTATTATGACAAATTTAGATTTATCATCACCAAAGAGAAACATCAATGACGAAATAATGTTGTCATTATTTAATAAAATAATTGGTGACAAAATATGATATGTCATTATAATTCAAAATAATATGACACAAATTATCGTCATTAATTATTGATAAAACGTCACCAAAAAAATTCCCTCCAAAATTTTACGTCAAATTTTGGCGCTCAAACAATTATGTGACAAACTCATTTTTATTGTCATGTATTTTATCAATTAGTGACAAAATCTAAGAGATAAAGTGACCATAAAAAATATTGTCATAAAAAGTCGTTTTAAAGTGACGAAATCACATTTTGTAACTATAACTCAGTTAAATGTGACAATTTTTGTTTTGTCACACACATTTTTGTCATAAAATGTGTAATTTCTTGTAGTGGGTGAATCGATCTGATTTTGACCAGTACCCGGTCGGGTAAGTACTATACCCGGTCGGGTACCCGGCCAAAGGTGTTGAAAAACACCCATAAATAGCACACTTTTCCTTCACTGATTCTCATCCCTTCTTCCATATACTAAGCTCAACTTAGAATAGTATTTTCTTTATATTTTTCTAGCATGTTTAGTCTCCAAATGAGGAGCTAAACTCTCATTTCTTGGTTTTACTCTTGAAGCTTGTTGAATGTTAAAGTTGTGAGTTAATTTCTTACTTCTTCCCTTGAATATTAATTATTCCCTTATTCTATCTCTATATTAATGTCGGTGAGTGTTCCTAAGATGACAATTAGTTAACATCTTGAGATTAATTACTACTAGAAACGATCAATGAACCGATGGTTAATCATTGATGGTTTCACAAGTAAGTAATTTTGGGTTATTAATGCATGGTCGTGGTTAATAATCTTAAGAGGGATTAATTGTGTAAGTTAAACCGAAACCGTTGTGTTAAGGTTATCAATCTCAATTGATTTCATCAAGGAGTTAAGAGATTAATTACTACTACCAAGTCGGTATATGGCGGTGTTCTGTACTTGGCTAATAGTAAGGGTTATTAATGCACGATCGTGGTTAATAACTTCCCTCGATGAATTGGAGATACTCCTCGATTGAGTATTCGAGAGGGGATAAGTTGTAGATATAACCGGGATCAACAAACATATCAACAAGTGGAAAGTAGCAAAGTCAAGCCTTTTATCTCATTAATTAATGAATTCATCTTAGTATTTTAATTAATTAAAATCAAACAATCCCAAAATCCACCTTTTAATTACTAGTTCCAGAAAAGAAAAGTATTCCTTTCCCTGTGGATACGAACTCTACTACACTATACTACGGTATTAGCCCTTAGTAGTGAATTTAATTTGAGGCACACAACGACTTTAGTGTCGTCAACATTCATTCTAAAGGCGCCTTCGGACTTCTATCAAGCTGATCAAGAGCTACTTCTGGAAGGCAAGGATTACAAGCAAAAGATTCCTCAACTCCCAGCATCAAAGATCAAATTGAAAAGAAGACATCAAAGGGGGAGATTGCAAGGATTTCTTCATAAAGCCTTCTCAAGAAGTCAAGTTCAAAAATAAAGGAAGCTGGATAACAACAAAGACATAGATATATGCGCTGCAATGCTGATTCAAGACGATAGAACACCAAGGGGGAGATTGTTGGTAATATTTTATGGTGTCCAATCTATTTAAATATTTTTGTATTTGTGTAGTTATGTATTAAATGTGTAATATGGGCCACAAATGTATATCAGCCCATTAGCTTCTTTGTAACCCATAAGTTAGCCATCCTTACCAAGTTGTTGTTCATCTCGATATCTTTATATCTGCCTCTTCTTCAGATTCATGATGGTGAATATTTATTTTTTACGTAATGCATAATTCTCAAATCTAACACTCCTTATTTATTCTCATTTCTCTCCCTAGATTGTATTCTTATTTGAACCAATGGGCGCGGGCGTTGCACAAGGGTTAATGCCCGACGATGAATATATGTTTGATAGTCACGGATCTAGAAACCATATTTGTTAAAGGCGAAATCTCATTCCCAACCAGTTTATGCAAAAACTGCATATTTATTCCACCAAATTAATTTTTCTCTACAATCTAGCATTGTAATATTGTTGTAATTTCCAGTTGTATGTTTGCGTTTTTAATTAATATTGTTTTTCGTTAGTTTGGAAATTACACACTTTTGGTGTAATAATTCGGTTTGTTAAACATTTGTAATATGTTTAGATTAGGATTGTTTTGAACTTAAAACAAGTCAAATTCATCAAAAGGATCAAAGAATGGACCCCAAAGAGTAAAGAATGAGCAAAGGAACAAGATCAAATGAAGATTTGAAAAAATGTACGTATACCTGCGGGTCGGGTATTGACCAGATTCGTATGTCAAAATAAAATGTGATGAACAAGTGATCGTGGCTAAGTATATTTGAAGATTTAGTCTCATATCTGATCGGGTAGATCGGGTATTTGTGATTTTTGCAGCTTCCAGGAAAATGTTGAAGGTACCCAATCGGGTACCCTATATACCCAATCGGGTACACAACCTTGCCACCTATTAAAAATACAATTTAAACATTACACTTTGTATATATTATGCATAATATATAGTACACTTAGGAAAAAATAAATAGTAATATATTTGATATGCACTAATTAGTAGTGCATAAGTGTATGTTTTTATGTTTGATTTGTGTGGATTGTTTACCGTTTTATTTAGTTTGTAAGCATTTGTGTGATTTTAGTTGTAATTGTATTTTAATCTTCATATATAAGTTGTAAAGTAGAATTAGGAATTATGGTGTTAAAAAGGAGGACTTTGAAGTGAAGAAAAAGGAGATTGGACTGTCCAGGAGCTAAAACCTGACCGGGTATAACACTTGACCCAGTCGGGTACGATTTAACAGATGAAGGTGGCTGGAAATTACACAGACCCGGTCGGGTCCCCTATGCCACCCGGTCAGGTCTGACTTGACCCGGGACATTTGAACGTGCTGAAACACAAGAACGTGGAAGATTATCTGATTTTGACATGCACCCGGTCGGGTGGGCACTTGACCCGGTCGGGTACCCGGCCCAAGGTGTTGAAAAACACCTATAAATAACACACTTTTTCCTCACAAATAATCATCCCTTCTTCCATACTCTTAAGCTCAGTTTAGAATATCATTTCTTTATATTTTTCTAGCTATGTTTAGTCTCCAAACGAGGAACTAAACTTCCATTCTTGGTGTTGCTCTTGAAGCTTGTTGATTATTAAAGTTGTGAGTTATTTTCTTAACTTTTTTCCTTGAATATTAATTCTTCATTTAAATACTATTTCTACATCAATGTTGGGGAGTGTTATTAAGATAACAATTAGTTAACATCTTGACATTAGTTATAGTAATAGTTATTTCTTTCTCTATGTTAATATTGGGGAGTGTTACTAAGATGACAATTAGTTAACATTTTGATATTAACTATAGTAGGATTCATCTTCTTTAATATTCTTCCTTGAGTATTAATTAATTTCTATTCATATTTCATATTAATATTTTGAACATTACTTGAAGGATCAACTAGTTTTGTTTCATATATTAATTATTAGTAGAATCGATTGACGAATACGCTTGTTAATCGTTGATGGTTTCACAAGTAAGTAACTTCGGTTTATTAATGCACGGTCGTGGTTAATAAGCTTAAGAGGGATCAATTTTGTTGGTTAAACCGAAACCGTTGTGTTGAGATTATCAATCTCAATTGATTTCATCAAGGAGTTAAGAGATTAAATGTTATTATCAAGTCGGTATATGGTGGTGTTCTATACTTGACTAATAGTAAGGGTTATTAATGAATTGTCATTGTTAATAACTACCTGACGTGCACTTGTCGTTAGGTGCACTCAAAATAAATAAACAATACAACACTAATACGTAGTATAGTGTAGTAAGGTTCGTATCCACAAGGAAAGGAATACTTTTCTTTTATAAAAGTAGTAACAAAGGGGGGTTTAGATTTGTTTGTTTTAACAACACTAAGATAAACGACCTATATGAGTTTAATTCAATGAGATGAGGACTTGGTTTTGCTTTTATCCACTTAATGAAATGTTCGTCGATCCCGGTTATATCTTTAACTATCTTCCTCTCGAATACTCAATCGAGGAGTATATCCAGTTCATCGAGGGTAGTTATTAATAACGAGATGCGTTCATTAATAAAACTTACTATCGAGTCAATACAGAACAAGCGCCGTATATTAACTTGATAGTAGCAATAAACTTAAGATGAAAACGATTGAGATTGATAACCTCAACACAAGCGGTTTATTGGTTTAATCAATATAATTAATTCCCCTTGGCATATTAACCATGAGATGCATGCATTAATATTCCAAGTTTACTACCGTTGAAAGAACCGGATTAATAACAAGCGTATTAACCGATCGATTCTAGTAATAATTAATATGAGAAACAATACTAGTTGATACTTTAAGTAATGTTTAAGATATCAACATGAAATATGAATGGGAGTCAATTAATACTCAAGGAAAAATATTAAAGAGAATGAATCCTACTATGATCAATATCAAGATGTTAACTAATTGTCATCTTAGTAACACTCCCCAATATTATCATAGAGGAAGAAATAGCTATTACTATAACCAATGTCAAGATGTTAACTAATTGTCATCTTAGTAACACTCCCCAACTTTGATATAGAGATAGTATTTTGAAAGAAAGAATTAATATTCAAGGAAGAAGATTAAAGAAAATAACTCACAACTTACAAATTCATTAAGCTTCAAAGTAGCAAAACCAAGATGGAAGAGTTTAGCTCCTCATTTGGAGACTAAACATGATGAAAAATATAAAGAAAGAGCTATTCTATACTGAGTTTAGATGTACAAAGGAATTGGATATCTTTTTGTGAAAGAAAGGAGGTGTATTTATAGGTTTTTGGGATGGGGTTCGGGTACTCGATCGGGTATATACATGGTACCCGATCGAGTACGTGTGTAACACTCGATCCGAGGCATACTCGACCGGTTTCAGGCTATTTTCTACGGGTATACCCGATCGAGTATTTATGAATACCCGGTCGAGTATGCTTAGAAAATGGTATTCGGACCATACTCAACCGATCTTCGTTTGAAATTCAAAGGCATACCCGATCGGGTATGTCGGTCTACCCGATCTGGTATAGACATAAAATCGTGGCCGAAATCTTCCCTGCATGTTCCCTTGTCTTCGGATTTGATCCGATTTGAAGTTCCAGCCTAATACCCGATCGAGTATAGCTAATACTCGGCCGAGTATAGACCAAAATTCAGGATCTTCTTTTGTCTTTGAACTTTTGCACCTTCTTTTCACTTTTTGGGTTCACCAACTGTACTTTGAGTGACCAAAACCTGCTTAAGCTCAGAATATATCTAATCTAACCTATTTACAAGAATTTAACAATCTAATCTATTACACCAAAAGTGTGTAATTTCCAAAGTAAAAGTCAAGCAAAACTAATTAAAAACATAAACATAGATATGGAAATTACGAACGTATCACTACCCTCGATGAATTGGATATACTCCTCGATTGAGTATTCGAGAGGGGATAAGTTATAGATATAACAAGGTTCAACTAAATATATCAACAAGTGGAAAGTAGCAAAGCCAAGTTCCTTTTATCTTTGAATTAAATCACATATAAGTTGTTTATCTTAGTTTTTAATTAAATTAAATCATTCAACACCAAAACCCCCCTTTTATTTACTAAGTTCATAAAAATAAAAGTATTCCTTTCCCTGTGGATACGAACTCTACTACGATATACTACGTATAAGTGTTAGTATTAAATATTATTTTGACGCACTACGACAAAGTGTTCGTCAAACTTGGCTTTGCTAGTTTCCACTTGTTGATATATTTAGTCGATCCTTGTTATATCTATAACTTATCCCCTCTCGAATACTCAATCGAGGAGTATATCCAATTCATCGAAGGTAGTTATTAACAACGACCATTCATTAATAACCCTTACTATTAATCAAATATAGAACAACGTCTTATACCGAATTAATAGTAGCATTTAATCTCTTAACTCCTTGATGAAATCAATTGAGATTGATAATCTCAATACAACGGTTTCGGTTTAACCAACAAAATTAATCCCTCTTAAGTTTATTAACCACGACCATGCGTTAATAAACCGAAGTTACTTACTTGTGAAACCATCAACGATTAACCATCGGTTCGTTGATCATTTCTAGTAGTAATTAATGTCGAGATGTTAACTAATTGTCATCTTAGCAACACTCCCCAACATTAATGTAGAGATAGATTAAGGGAAGAATTAATATTCAAGAAAGAAGATTAAAGATGAATAATCGTACTATAACTAATGTCAAGATGTTAACTTATTGTCATCTTAGCAACACTCCCCAACATTAATATAGAGGAAGTACATAAATACTACTATAACTAATGTCGAGATGTTAACTAATTGTCATCTTAGTAACACTCCCCAACATTAATGTATAGATAGATTAAGGCCGGGAATGATTAATATTCAAGGGAAGAAATTAAGAAAAGAACTCACAACTTTAATAATCAACAAGCTTCAAGAGTAACGCCAAAAAATGGGAGTTTAGCTCCTCATTTGGAGACTAAACAGGCTATTAAAATATAAAAGAAATACTATTCTAAACTGAGCTTAAGAGTATGGAAGAAAGAGTGATTAAATGGAAAGGAAAAGGGGTGTATTTATAGGTGTTTGGAGGTGGCAGGGTCATTTACCCGGCCGGGTTTTTCAGAAACCCGGTCGGGTTTCTTGAGTAATTGCCTGGAATCTTCATTAGTCACATCTACCCGATCGAGTTTTTGATTTACCCGATCGGGTAAAAGACAAATCTTTGCCAAATCTTTGCCCTGCACGTTTAATTGCCTCCAAATCAGATTTGATCTTCGGGTCAAGTCAAACCCGATCGGGTTTTCAGAAAACCCGGTCGGGTTTTTGACTATTTTCCCAAATTTTCACTTTCTCTTGTTCCCTTGCACTTTTCCTTGACCTTTCCAGGTTCCTTTTGATGATCTTTACCTAGTTTAAGCTCAGAAAATCCTAATCTATACAAATTACAAGTAACTAGGAAAAATAAAGTATTACACCAAAAGTGTGTAATTTCCCAAACAACAACAAATAAAAATAGTTAAAATTAAAAACATAAACAATAACAATTTTATACTATCAATATTCAAATATGAATATTCAAATATAATCAAATGAATATAGTAATTTACTCTTGTAAGTGCAAATACTACTAAACAAATATAAATTCAATAGAAAGTTATCAAATTCAAATTGAATGTAGAGATATTCAACTCGATTCGACCCGTTTACAACCTTTTGTGTGATCAATCTGTTTAAACTTCTAATTTTAGGGATTTAAAATTCCCTATGAACAAAATCTGAAAAGTATAAGCATAAAAAAACTGAAAAGAATACGACCTATTAGTTTAGCATTTTGACATTGGGTTATTCTATTGAGGCTGACCGGAGTATGCCCAATTTATGGGTGGACTAGGTTTATGGGAGCATTTACATCCTTTGTAATAAAATAAAGAGATAATTCCCTAAATGGGACTAAATCAATGTTGAAGTGCACAAATAGGACTCTCATAATTTATAGGACCAAAAATGAACTGATTAGACAAAATTGCCCTTAATTAAATTACAGGGCAAATAAAAAAACAAAACCCTCCCCCCTCCCGCTGCATCATTCCACGATGCTTACTCTGACCTTCAGCCCATCTGCCTCATTCCAGATGCGAAATCGACACCTTCGACACCTTTCATCCACGGCCGCTGTTGTCGAGACCGCAGCCGCAACCAATTGAGACCGCCACAACAGTTACTGCCGAGATTGGCGCTGCACACCTCCAGTGAGGCGACTTAACCCATCCTACAGCGAGAATAGCGCCACCACTAAATTCTTGCGTAGAGATGTTGGCATCTTTATAGTCAAGCCTACCTCATCAGGAGTGTATGGTATCAATTTGAAGCAAAATTGCAATTATGATAACAATAATGACAAAAAAATGACATTTTTAACTGCAAAACATGGAACTTTCAGCTTACAAAATATGGCATTTTCACATTTTAGAGTACAAAATGTGGAATAGGAAAAGAAAAATGAAGAAGTAATGTTGCCCAAATTCAATTCAATGCCATAAAATGCCATAATTTGAGAAAATGTCAAAAATTTGGCAATTTCAAATATGCCATATTTCCATCTCCATAAAAAAATGCCATAAATGTGGCATTTCGTACAAGTTGATAAAAATACACAATAATAAAATTTAGATCTGAAACGTTTTGAACAACAGCCTCGAAAATTCATCCCTAAATGTTTTGAATTCAAAATTTTCAGATCAAGAATAGAATTTGCCTATAGAAATCAAAAAAAAATATCCAAACAAATTAACAGAAAAAAAGGAGGAGAAAATAGAGGAGAAGAGAATAGAGGAGGAGAAGAGGAGGAGGAGAGGAGAACAAGGAAGAGAAAGAGAAGGAGGGGGAAGGGACTACCTGTAGAGGCGTTCGCTGGAGGAAGAAGACGTTTGCCGGTGAGGAGAAGAAGATGCCGATCCAGAGGAGTAGATGCGGAAGAATGGACATGCGGAAGATGTCGATGGGTTTTAATTACAACTGGAGCAGGGGTAAATTGGTAACAAAGAGTCCCATTTAAGAAAAAATAAAACATTAACTCCCATTTAGGAATTTTGATGATAATTTAGTCCTATTTAAGACAAAAAACTCTAAAATAAATGTCACTTTTAGTTTTTCACGTATTTTAAGATAATTATTGTATCAGATACTCCAAGATAATTATTGTATCAGATATTTCCTTTGTATCTGATAGTTTTTAGAGTTTAGTTTTCACCGAAATTTATGATTGTGTGTGTGTGTATCAATGATTTTTTATTTGTAAAAAGTAACAAAGATAGGTATAAACCTAAATAAACAACAAAAGAAATAATAAGCAGCACGATGAAACAACAGGAAACATGATGCAACAATATGCAACATGTTACAACAAAAAGCAACATGATGCAACAAAAAATGACAACTACAAGACAATACAAAGAAACAAAAAACAACATATAAAAATGTCACAATAATTGTATAATACCATCTGTTAACTCGATTTATTACATTTATCTACTATGTATTACAATATTTGGCTTTGGTGCTTCACATTCGTTCTTCCTTTTATGCTTTTTAACACACAATCCATCAGGTTCGTCTCTTTATCTTCATTTCCTTGTTGATCTTCTTAGCCTTACTATCATCTCAATGTACTTTTAGTATGCACTTGTAATTAGACAGAAATCCAAAACTAATTATAATAATAAAACAATACATCTCTACAATTGATGCACCAAAATATATCCACAAAATTTGATGACATGAATTTTAAGGCATCAAAATATGATGGCAGGAATAGAACATGTTTATGTGGTGAGTTACTCTGTTTGACGCCAAGATCTAAGCCATGTTTCAATAAATTGAGCAAAGATTTCAATTTCTGAATAATGTCCCCTTGACTAAGCAAAATCCTTAATGCTGATTCATCTTTCGTGTTTTTCGTTGGATGGTAAAAATGAAGGACAGACAAGCCAGTTGCATAAATCTCAATAATACAAACGGTAGTAAACCAACCCTTCAAAAGACTTATATAAATTGAACATATCCTCAACAAATATAAAGAAGTTAATAATAAAAAATTACAAAGATTCAAGCTAAGTAGGCCATCTGATTTGGATCAACTGATTTATTTAATTTCCTTTAATTTTAAGCTTAATGGATAGTTCTTCACAATGTATTGCAACAACTCAAGAAATACTTCTCATTATTTTCCATTTAGTTTCACAATTACCTATTAGTTCCAGAAATTTTATTAGTGTTCTCCATGTCATCCTGCAAGGTAAAAGCATATATGTTAATAACACATAGTGAACCCAATGAGCTAAATCATCATTAATAGAAAGAATCCATATTCAAGTTTCAATACCTCGCTTTCATTGGACATAGATTTCAATATCAAATTTAATACATCTACAATATCAAGAGCTTGTTGTTATGCAAAGAGAAAAAAACATATATTACATGTGAACTGCAGAAGAGATAGATACAGGTTAGGTGGTTTCATAAACATATTTGCAGGTGTAAATCCATTGTTTGAGCATTTGCCAAATCGGTAATATAACGAGAGGAATACAAAAACAAGCAAACAAGGCATCCATATGAAACTTACAGATATAGAAGAAATAATTATCATTACAATAACATCATACCATGCAATTTATATTTATGTACAAAAAACTCAGATGAATGGAGAGTCAAAAGACAGCAAACCAAAATTGACGAGCCAAATCATTTAGCAAATTGACTTTGAAAAATTGACTTCCATCAAATTGAACGGGGAATCCAAAAATCATACAAAAAAAATCCATCTAGGGCGGATGACATTACCAGGGCTTCTACTACTGCCACTCTCCATCCCCACCGTTTGCTTCAGAGGGAGACTTCAACATGATTTCGAAGATTTCGTTATTGAAAGCCATCATCGTAACAGACATACGCGTTCCAAACCTGTATTTCTGCATATAGGCATTGAAAATTAAAATCCTTGAAGAAATCAATGGAGTTAAACTTGTATTGACCTAGAGTCGGGCCTACTGGCGATCCAGGCTTTGCAGCGGCGACGTCGAACCTTAGTCGGATTACAGCCGCCAGGGAACGCCAAGTCAAGATCTCCTTCAAAATCTAAACCACATACGGATGACAGGACGAAAGACGGAGTGCAAAGCCATACATGACAGATGATGGCGCGCGGAGCCGCAAGAGAAGGACGGCAGAGCGTGGAGGCCGGAGAGCAGCTATAGATGCTTCTGCTTCAGGCCGGATGCCAAATTGCCAACGATCGATCTCTCCCTTTGAGTTTTGATTTAGCTAGTTTATTTTTGAAATAAAAATTAAAAGTGAAAAGACAAAAGTTTATAATTGAAAACTAAATATTTAGGTGACATAAATGATATGCAATTAAGAAAGATGAAGTCAACTGGATATTTCCACTAAAATAAATGTCACTTTTAGTTTTTCACGTAGTTTAAGATAATTATTATATCAGATACTCCAAGATACCCGTATCGTACGCTATTAGGCTGTATTTGCAATTATTAAAGGTTTCCAACTTTTTTTGTAGTTATATTAACTACTTGGATTATGTATCCTGACACATACACGTATCAACCTTTTTTGTAAAGAAAACAACTAAAAATGAAATATTAAATTAAACATCTTTAAAAGGTGGTAATTAGAAATTTTAGTTTTTTATTAGAGTATTATTTTATATGTTCATTGAAATTCTTTTATTCAAAAACTATGAGTATCTGCGCTTTTCATTTCAAAAATGTGGTTGTTTGACTTATTTCTCATTTTAAATTAATTATTTATTGATTGTATTTATATTTTTAGATGTAGTAACATATATGAGATACAATACTAATTTATTTCTAACTATATTGATAATGTGAAATGTTTCAATGCCCTAAATGGAGAAAGGATAACATATGTATATTTTGAATTTTATTTTTATTTTTAGTAATTATAAAAACATCCCCATAATTTTTATAATATTTAAAAATACGTCTCCAAAACTTTTAATATTTATAAATATGCTCGTATTCGTATCCTATTTGAATATGTTCTTGAATTCATTCGAGATGTGAGTAAAACTCAAATTTTTTTGTTGTATTCGTGTAACCAATATTCGCGTTTAAAACTTCTTATCCTTGAAATGAGTAACTACTAATATTATTATGTGCACCATGAGATCTTTACAAGTAAAAGGGAAACATATTTCTCAAGTTCTCAGCAATACAGAATTGAGACCACCAATGTGTTACTCTCAAGTTCTAAACTATTGATATATCGTCCAAAAATCACGATCAACACCGAAGTATTGAGTCAAAAGTCAACACTCATTAGGTCAGAGTGTTGACTAAAAAAGATTAATGGAAAAAGAAAGTATTATTTACAGTTTCGGGAGAAATTAGGCCAGGACTAATTAATTAGCCAAAAAGCCAGACTATCGTTCTCTTTGACTGTCATTGGATGATAGCCCAAAAACCCATTTGGAGAATCCTTTCTTCTTTGACTCCTGAGTTCTCAGCGGCTGGGTTTCCGCCGCCGCCACAAATGAACTTATCCGTTGCATCGCCAAACTCAGAGTGTCCTCTGACAGGTTGGCAAAACAAAATCTGAACCAACCCGGTTCGGTACAATGGCAAGAAGATCCGGGCGAGATGTTTAACCGGACTTGGTAAACGATTTTCTTCCATAGCTCTATTTCCGCTTCGAAAGTTTGTGATGTGAGGAGATGTCTCATGTCAACCCAGCAGAACAGTCCAGCGTTGCTCTCCAGGCACTGGATTCCGGTTTCCCGGAGTCCGGCGACCAACATCGCGTGTCTCTGCTTCAGCCTTTTCTGGTTTTCTGTCAAGTACTCCTTCGTGAACTTCTTGTCAGAGAGCATGGCGGATAGAAGGTACTGCGTTTGAGAAGAAACCAAGCCGAAGCTCGACATTTTCGTAGCCGCCGACACGACCATCTCGTCGTTGGAGTAAATCGCCCCGACCCGAAAACCCGGGAGCCCGAGATCCTTGGAGAGACTGTACACGATGTGAACCCGGTCCCACACGCTGTCATGGGTGACAGTTTTGTTTTGAATCCTTTCCGTGAGAACCTCCATGGCACTGACGAAGGCCGAGGAGTCAAAAACGGTGCCGGAGTAGATCTCGTCGCTGATCAGATGGATTCCCTTATCGTCGACGAAGGTAATGAGAAGATCTAGCTCTTCTCGGGTCAATGTTGTTCCCAATGGGTTGGATGGGTTGGTGACTAGAACGCCTTTGACTTTAAGGTTCCGCTTTTGGGCGGATAAGTAAGCTTCTTGCAATGCGGACTCAGTAATCCTGAAACCGTTGGAGCTGAAGCACTGAATGGGAACAATCTCTGCTCCGGTCCTCCATTTCAAGTCTCTGTCAAATCCTGGATAGTATGGAGTGGGGAGTAAGAAAGCGTCGCCGGGGTTGGTGAGACAGAACATTAGCGTCTCGTTGGCCGGAGTTGAGCCGGCGGTGAGGACGAGGTTGTCGGAATCGAATGAGATCTTGTTTCCTCTGATTTCTGACATAAACTCAACCATAGCGTTCTTGAAGGAAGAAAGGCCATGATAATCTTGAAAGAGTGCAAGCTGCCGGAAAATGGACTGGCCTCCATTGTCACCCTTAAAGGCGGCGGCCTCGGGATTTTGAGCCAACCAAGACTCAAGAAGGTCGAAGGAGAGCTGATTTTCGGCGAGACCCATTTGGATAATGCCTTTGGGATTGCGGCTCTCATGGTAAGGGTTCTTTTCATATTCTTGCCATCCGAGGAAGTAGGAGGAGTCTTGGCCATGCGAATTACATGTCGCTCTTTCTGATAAGAGCTTCATTTTTAGTTCGTTCGATTGATTCTGAAATGTTTCCGACTTTCCGGGATAAGTAGAGTTGAAACGAACTTTGAGAGAAAAGTGTGGTTGAGTTATGGTTACTTAATTATCCGCCGCAATAACCGATATATATAGGAGGAGATAAATACTACTCCGTAGTATGAAAATACAAAAATAAAAACTGTGAATCATACTACTACATATACATGTATCCTTCAATTAAGGAATTAAGGAATGACAATAAATGATGATTGCTTTTTACATTTTTGTTCATCTTTCTAAAAGTAGATGTTTTAGGTTAATGAGAAAAAAATAAAAGGAAAGGTAAATTTGTCATTTTATTCTTATTTACATACCAAAAATAGAAAGTGGAAAATCATTTTGGGACAACCAAAATAGGAATTTTTGCAAATCAAATTGGTATGGAGGAAGTATCAAATTGGGACGGAAGAAGTATAATAATGTACTACCTCCGTTCCTATTATAACTTCCAAATAGGTTTGTCACACAATTTAAGATAGTGGGTATTGTGTGATGGAGAGTTGTGCAGAACAAAGAGAAATGTGTAAGAAATGATGTGAACCACAAATTCTCTACCAAAAAATGAAAGTGAAAGTTTTAATTGGAACGGACCAAAAAGGAAAATGAAAGTTATAACAGGAATGAAGGGAGTAATATTCATCTACTTGGCAGCTGTAGCTATACTTATAGCCCTGCAGACCTGCAGTAACATATCGCAGAGTATCTCAGAATAGGACATGGTACACGCATGACTCCCACATGGGCGATCGCTGATATGTACAGTTTGGAATGCCAAATGTGCATATATGTCAACATCAAATTCTCCACAATGATTGTTAGTATGATTGAAGTATTTCTTGATTTTTTTCCGTATTAATGCTAATTAATTAAATAATTACGAAATTAATGTTTGGCTAAAAAATAATTTAACAATATACTGCTGGGCATAATTTCGGTCGGGAAAAGTCGTCAAATCGTTTGGTGACTTATAAGTCGTCTTCCGGTTTGGCGACTTATAAGTCGTCATCCGATTTGGCGACTTATAATTCGTCAAACCGTTTGTCGACTTTCCTCTTCCCAAATACGTTAACACTCAAACGTTGTGTTTCAGACTGACGTCGGTCTGGGTCCAACCGTGGCCGGTCGGTGGTGAAAAATTGTGGTTTCAAATCCTGGTTATCGCAATTCACCGTTTGACGACTTACAGAACACATACAAAACAATTTTTGGTAAAAATGATACAAAGCGAGAAACACAATTTGGTAAAAATGATACAAAATGATAAAAAGTATTAATAACACAATATACATTATTTTGCTGGTGAAAATACTGTAAAAAGTAAAGTATTTCTACAAAATTTGGTGTACATTATTTTATCCAATAATAGAGAGACTACAATTTTTCATTGTCTTCTTTATCGCTTTGGTCATGGTCTTGGTCATCAATGAGCCCTGGATCCGCTGACACCTCCATAGTGCCTAAAAAAAATGAAAAGGTAGTTAGTCAATAATTAATAAATAATTTGAAATCATTATTTTATAATTTACATTACTATGAGTTGCGGAATTTAATAATTAAATACTTACGAAGTGGACTCCCCACCATCTCTTGAAGATCTCTTCGCACATGTGGCCCTATTATGACCGGTTTGTTTACATTTTCCAGATCTAACCGTTCCTCGGGGACCTTCATCCATCTCATTCTTAATATGTGAGGACTTAGGTCTTCCCTTAGCCCGAAGCATGGATGGATCATGCACAATTTCAGGTCCATTGTAAGTTGGCCAATTATCACGGTCAAGAATGGGTTTATAGACTCTTTGATATGTGGCGGCGTATGTGTTGGGGTCGTGTGTGTGAGAGCTTTGTTGTAAAGCTGAGAGGCTCTCTATCCGCAAGGTAGAGATGCATAACTCTTTCTAAAGAGGATAGAGTTGGGGTGGCTCAAGGGCATAGATTGGTCGAGGTTTTTTAATCCCTTTGAGCCAAGATATTTTTCCTCGTTAAATCCTTGTGCACTTTACTATTTCGCAATTCCTTGAACCCCACACTAGAACTATGCGAAAAACTGCTACGGTTCCACACACACACAATTCACCCCCCCCCCCCCCCCCTCTTGTGTTGCTAACTGTTTCATCAATTGGTATCAGAGTCGGTCTTCACCACAGAAACGGTAAAACCCTGGGAAGAGATCCGGTGATATGAATACGGTTGAACGATTGGAAGAAGGTTACTCGACTCAACGACCACCGTTGTTCAACGGCAAATTTTACCAATTCTGGAAAAGTCGAATGGAGAACTTCATCAAGGTTGAGAACTACCAGGTATGGAACGTAATTGAGGCAGGTGATAACATCATCACTAAGGTGGATGCCGAAGGTAAGGTTGTCTCTAAACCCAAATCTGAATTTACTTCTGATGATTGTTGTAAATTCGAGCATAATGCCCAAGCATTAAAATATTTGATTTGTGGACTTGGTCCGATTGAGCACAAACGTGTTGTTGGATGCAAATCTGCAAAACAGATGTGGGATTTACTTGAGGTTACGCATGAAGGCACCTCGCGAGTAAAAAGGTCCAAAATTGACATATTTATGCGTATTTATGAATTGTTCGTAATGAAACCTAAAGAATCAATTAGGGACATGATTACACGTTTTATTAACATTATAAATGAGCTTTCAGCATTTGGGAAAGATATTACTGTGAAAGATCAAGTAAGAAAAGTTATGAAAAGCTTGACGTCCATATGGAAACCTAAAACTACGGCAATAGAGAAAACTAAAGATCTCTCCACCATGACACTAGAAGACTTGACCGGTTCACTCATGACATATGAGTTAGGCCTACAGGAAGAACAAGATGTCGAGAACGTGAGAAAGGAGTGAGGAATAGCTCTCAAGGCTCGAGAGGAATAGTATTTTAGTATACTTCACAATACTAAAATTATGAAATTCTAATAATACACAATAAATAATTAACTAACATTTAAATGAAATGAAATTCAAATAATTCACATTTAGATCCATTTCAATCAACTAATATTTAAATTTACCTAATATTATCAATTCAAATCCTAAATTAACGGTATTAATTAATTACGTAATAATTAATATTATCAATTCAAACCCATTTCAATTAACTAATATTTACATTTCACTAATAATGTAGCGGAACTAAAGTTCACTAATTTAACTGTGTTAATTTACATTTAACTGATATTATTAAATTTTATTAATTGAAAATAATAATTCACACTAAACTAATGTTTCAATCCTAACTTATTTAAATCACTATAAATCCTAAATTAGGCATTAAAAATAATTGCTAATAAACAAACCTAATAATTTTATAATCCCATCTATATTTACTAATATTTAAATTTAACTAAATTATGTTTATAGTTAAATATATTGTTAATAAATTAACAATCTCACTAATTTAACAATTTTAATTATTCAAAAAGAAAAAATTAAAACTTATTGAAAAAATACATTATTCAAATGACATACCTTATCTGCATAAACAAGGGAAATGATAAACTGATAGATTACATCCTTCAATCTTTCAACAAATACTCGTAGTCTGATTGAATTTTAACTCGTATGCAATCAATCAATTGAATGAAACCACACCGTGACATATATAAAAAAAAACTTGTCACGGATTTTGTCACGGATAAATCCGTGACAAACACTTATTCGTACAACTTTAAAATGTGACCACTGGAGTATTAATTATTGGAGTTTGTCACGGACTTTGTCACGGATTTGTCCGTGACGAACGCCCGGAAGTGAAAAAAATGTTGGCCGGAGTAAATTGCCGGTAACCGGAGGAATGTTGTCACGGATGAAAAGCCGTAACAAACAGTTGTCACGAATTTTGTCACGGATTTGACCGTGACAAACCGTCTTCGTGACAAATCAAGCTTTTCCATGACAACATCTGTGACAATTTTGCCACGGCTTAGATCCGTGACAAACTTCCGTGACAAAACGGGTGTTTTTTTGTAGTGCATGTTATTTACTTCGTCTCACACAAGGCATGGCAATGGGTCGGGACGGGTACTGCAAGACCCGGTCCCGCCCCGTACCTTCACTGGCTGGACCCGTCCTGTCCCGTGACGCGCACGGGTCCAATCTTGTTGACCCACGACCCGCCCCGCCCGCCCCGTCGTAACCTAAATAGCTAATATACATTTCTATCTGTGTGAAGTTGTTACCACTTGAATCTACATAAAGTTTATCTCTAAATACTTATTAAAAAAGTTGTATATTAAATAAAAGTCACAATACGCTAAAAATTTCAAAAATCAAGAAAAAGTACTTAGACTTGAATAGTTAGTTTATTTATATTAATAATTGAATATATAAATTAAAATGCTATATATAAAAAAGACATTGATAGTTCCACGTTCATCTGATTCAAATATAAATATTAATGTATTATAGGACCAAAGAATTTATGATTTATTGTATACACACATATGTATGTAGAAGTATTTGTAGTATAGTTTTTTTAAAAAGGTATGTATGTACACTTATATATTGAGCGGGTCGGGTCGGCACAGGTAAATACTAAGACCTGGACCCGCCCCATTGTATGAGCGGGGCAGACCTGCCCCATTTGCAAAATGAGGCAGGCCGGACCAACCCCAAATGTCTCATGCCAGGGTTGGTCATTGCGAGCCAGATTTTTTAACATGCCTATCTCACACGATTTCACCGGGCCATTGTTTTCATTGCCGAGAAAAGTAGCAACACTTTATGAAGGTTGTTCATATATGGTACTTCGGCCCTCCGTCCGTTAAGATTCTTCCATTTTCTCCTATTCGAGAAATCTCACTAAGATTGTCGCATACCAAATGTGCTAAAGTTTGTGTGACTCTAAATCATTTATACTTTCTTCTTACAAAAAATCTATTTGTACACGTTCTCTTATACACGTTCTTATACACTTGTCTGTGGTAGGTCATTTTTTTGTCTGTGAACGAGATTCACAGACAAAACTTGTTTGTGGATATTTTTTTGTCTGCGACAGACAAAACATGCCGATTCACAAACAAAAAAATGACCTGTCACAAACAAGTGTATAAGAACGTGTATAAGAACGTGTACAAATAGAATGACTCTTATTCTTATTTTATCAATTAAATATCA